TCTTACCGCATTTTGACCTACAATCAATATAGAATTGGCAGTTGGTGCCAAAACATCAACCATAAAAATAACATTTGCGGAACCACCACTGCAATATCCTGAAGAGGTTGAGGCATGGTTTGCAAACCACATTTGTCCATTATATCTCGAATAAGCAGTATTGTTTCCTTGAGTAACAATTCCACACAATCCACAACCATTCGAACATAATGGTGAAAGACGATTGAGAAATTGTAAAGGATCACAATTAGATTTAGTACCATGAAACATTTTATGAGTAACTCTATTCAACGGCAAATTATTTTGCGTAGCAATTTGTTTCTTAAGGTTTTGATGAGCTTCAACCAAATTCTTGGGCATTTGAAGCCTAAAAATCGCTTGAACTTTAGCTTGAGGTAACATTGAAATAAATCTTTGATGAGCCCCAATGTAATCCAAATCATTTGCGTTTAATAAGCTCATTTTAGTTTTGGTTAATGTTGAACATTCTATCCAGTAACAGGTTGGAGAACAATACGAATGAAATTTTTTTTTATCCTGAGGGTCTGTATAAGCGCGTCTTGGGCAATTTGATCGAGTACAATGAGGTGCCTCAGAATTAAGATGTTGTCTCGCGCAAGTTTTCCCACAATAATTATATTGAATTCCTGTTGGATCAACATAAGCTTGTCGTGAACAAGATGGATTCTTACAACGTTGGGGTAACTTCGATTTGTTGAGTTCGAAAGAGGCGCATGTTATTCCGCAGTAGGGATGTACAAATCCATTAGTTTCGATGTACACTGGCTTGCTACATCCAGAACGCGAGCAAATTTGGGACATGGTAAGATTGGGTACTAAAGATGTTAAAGATGTGTATTTAAAGGACAATTGAACTATATAAATTGATTAAAAGAATAATATAACAACGCGAACAATTAAGTAAAAAAATTTTTTTTATTTATTACGTAGATGAGAAGGTCGAACAAAATTAATATTTTCGTTCGAAACCTAATGCAAAAGAAAAAAGAAAATCAGTAAATAAATAATCTTTTAAAAAAAAAAAATTTAATTGTCTCGTAAAGATTAACTAATTGTGGGGGAAAATAATAATTCTAATGGTGAAGTCAATCTGCATATGATACTCACAAATTAAACGTATAAAATACTTCATCTGAGTTTGTAATGATTAAATTCTGTTGCAATGTAATGATTAATTGGGTTCTTTTGTTTGCTCACAACAGATTATTGCAAGTGAGTGACGCACGGATGAATATATAATTCTGTCATATGTTTGTGGCGCTTCGTTTTTTTTTTGTTCTTTTCTCAAACATCTAGATTACGTTGGCGATGTGGTGAGTGCGAGTCGTGCTTATAGCTATTCTAATATCTTTGATCGCCTACGGGATAAGCAAACACATGTTTCATTTTATGATTTAATGAATCAAACGTAATAATGAACAATGGACGTGAACATAATGCAAACGGATTTAAATTGTTTACTTAATAAAAATTTAAAGAAATGAACATTTGATTCAGTAAACGATCTTTTATTATGATTTCAAAGGGGCTTTGACGTAATTTATTTAAAACAAGAACTTTGAAAAATTAACGAATTGACAATCACGTGAGTAATTCAGTTTGACAATCCTCAGAAGGGATCGTAGAATAGGAAGAAAAGTTTGAATTACGTAATGTATTAGGAAAGTAATTAACGTTATTATTATTATTATTCGAAGGGGGTAAGTAAGCGGGAGGTGGATCAAATCCATCCGTAGGATCATTGGCGGTCAAAGGACGAGTATTCATATTCATTCGAGAAGCTATATCATGATTTGCACAAGTTTTCCCACAATAAGGGTGAACTCTGCCATTTGCATCAACGAATGGAGAATTGTTGCAACCGACGCGTTTACAATTTTTGTACTTATAACCTCCGTATTGGCTTGCACAAGTACGTCCACAGAATGGGTGGCGTGTTCTATAATAAACGTTAAAATTTATTGAAAAATTCGCAAGAAATATTTCTTTAAAGTCATAGAAAATTATAAATAATATGAGGTACCCGTTTCTTTCCACATAAATTGGACGATCGCATTCAGGAGCACTACAAGTAGTTTGTTCAGGGGTAGCTTTTTTTTTTTTTTTAAAAAAAAAAGAAAAGTAAGAAAAAAAAACGTTTAGCTTTTTATTTTATTTTATTTTATTTTATTTTTTTTTTATTTTTTTTTTTACGAAATTTATTTACCATGACACATTTTTGAAATTGGGAGAAATTCAAAAGAAAATATAATTCAAAGTTGAACAAAACAATAAAAATTCCAATATATAAGCAAATTTTGATGCCAAATGATGTCATTTATTTTGATGTGAATTTTGTAAATTTGGTAATATTCGATCATATGAAGTTAATCAAACTTTTTTTTTACACCTCTTTCATCTTTGAGTTATAAACTTACATTGATTTATTAAATGATGTAAGGAATATCTAATTATATTACCACGCTATCCTTTTTGTTTTTGTTTTGTTTTTGGTTATTATTAAATTAAATACGCAATAATAATTTCATATTTGTTCACGGATTTTAAAAACATCTTGAATCAAAGGATTTTTCCTTATAATAATCATGATCGATTGGCGCAGTAACAAACAATTTTAAAAAACGGGTATTTGAGTTCAATATATCTTTGATATTATTTCTTTTCCTAAAATAGAATGAATTAAATTGTAACGTTTGTATTTGATTTGACACATAAGTAAGAATTTGAATTAATTCTACTCCCTCTTTACAATTGATATCCGTTTCAACCAATCATCATTTTTTTTTCTCGGGCAAAACGCGAAAAAAAAGATTATTCTCTTTTTTTATTTTAAAAAAAAAATTACCTTGGTTATGAATAAAAAAAAAATAAATAAAACAATAAAATAAAATAAAAATAAACACAAATAATTATTAATTTACTATAACCGAATAGGACCAATCGCACGACAGAATCATCAGCTGATAGCTGACATACCCTCTTTCCATTTCATAGAAGGCCAAGGATTGATGAATCTATAAAAGAAAAATGAATGATCTTTTACCTAAAGTTAGTTTAGATCGTAGGAAAATCTTGAAACGATATTAAAATTCTGTATCACAACGCCGATTACCTTTTTCCATATATGGGGAGGCAATATACCTCACGGAGGAGGCTTACTCTTTATTTTTGATACTCGTATTGGTAACTTTTGTCGTGATAAAGAAAATTCTCTACAAAAAAAAAAAAACAAAGGTTCTTTGCTTGTCTAAAAATATGAACTTTAGGTTTTTGACAAAAAAGATTCATTAATTCAATCTCATGTTACACGTTAGCTAAAAAATTCTATTATGTATTATTATTATAATAATACCTTTTTTTTTGAGAAACCCCAATGACTTTTTATAAAAATTTTTCCGATTTTTTTTTTTTTTTTTTTAAAAAAAAACAAATAAATATTACTTAAAAGATGTTGTGACATATTTATTAGTTTTTTTTTTTTTTTTTAAAGATTTTGTATTTTATTTTTTCAATTTTTTGTTTATTAAAAAAAAAAAATTACAAAAATAATAAGTATCCTTTGATTTTTATTTACGAAAAAGAAAGTAAGTATACATATATTCCACTTGAAAGGAAATAACCACAATGATTTTTTTTTTTATACTTCTCTAAAAATCAACTTTGAACATACACATCATAAATCGATTGAAAGGGAAACGTCGTTACAATGGATATTACGGTAAATTGCGACGTTGAAAGTACCTTTCCCATAATAGCTATCGTAATATCAAGTATAGGCGTATTAGTTATAGGATATCATGTATATAATAAAATAACGCAATTAAGGATAATTTTGTGGGTTATCTTTCTCAAATTCGCTTTTCGTTTCATAATTCCTTTCGGTTGACTTTTCTTTTCATTCTTTCATAGTTGGATAATTTGCATGTCAACTACTTTGGTGTCGATTATAAATTTAATATGGTTATATGTGGGCTGCGTGAGTGAGCCCATCATTTACCATCTGATCTATTTGATTTTTTCAATGATATACCTTATTTTAGGTAGGTTGTTCTTTTACCTTTAGAACTTTTTTTTTTGTAAAAAAATTTCTTGATGCTTACGTTTGCTTCGCCACCGAACTTCGTTGCTGCGCCTTAATCGACGTCTATAGTGGTATGGTGTTTTCTCGATTTGGGAAAAAAATTCTATCCGACCAATAAATGGAAAACACCGTTATACAACATAACGATAATAGGATGTGTGTTATATACAATAGTATTAATCACACAAATAACGCTATTAATCCTAAATAGTGATGAAATCAAATACTCGAGGGCACCACATGGGATGAGTTATATCACGGTATTAATATCATTGACGTTAGGAGCAATCCTAATCGCGTGCTCGTTTCTATATACATTCAAACCGATAATTCGATTACAAATTAGATTCAATAATTCAACCAATTCTCATGATTCACCTTCAATCAATCCACAAAACATTATAGTTGGATGGTGGTATATGACTACGTCGGGTTTGATCGCTATCTCTTACTTCATATTTTGTATATTAAATACGACAAAAGGCCCTAGAATATTTTATGACCCATTATCAAATTCAATCGATTACATTCATAGGACTTTATTCATCCTAGATGTTTCCATGCCGCCACCTAAATTCTTTTTAAATTTTGTCAAGTCGAAATTCCTTCCCAGGGATTTATTTATTATACCGAATTCTAGCGTTAATTCTTTTGAAGATTTTGTTTTAGAAAATACCATTACCAATCCTGATAATACTAATACTAATATTGTTTTCAACAATCATGGGGATGTTTAATCGATAAACTTTCATCTTTTCATGTATATCTATTACTTGATGCAAATTTCGATTAAACAATTAAACAAAATTCTATCATACGAAAATTGCAGGATTTCAATTATTTTTTTATTTCAATTTATTTTATATTATTATTTTTTTTTTTTGTTGCAATCCAAGATTTAATCAAAATACGCCTCTCCTCCACCACCTGAATTTATTTTGTTTTATTTTGAAAAAAATATATTAGAATATAACAAAAAAAATTTTATCAAAAAAAAAAAAAAAAATTTTACCATCGTCATCAAATGCATCATCTGCCTCTCCATTATCAAAGTAACTTTCAACATAATCCGTAGCATCCCCATATTCTTCGTCTTCCTGAAATGGTTCTATCTCGGCATATTTTTCTATTTCATTTTCAACGACATGCTATATAATTCATGTATTAAAATCATACCTGATATTTAAACTATGCAGAAATTCTGAATCAAATGGGTTATAAATACCTCTACATTTTTAGCCTTTTCTTTATTTTCTTGTTCTAGCAATTGTCCAAATGTCAAATCAAAATCAAAATGAACCTTCCTTTGAGTTTCTGTAAAGGAAAAAAAAAATGTTAATAATAATAATAATGTAAATGATAAATAATTGTTGATAAATTTATAATACCATTTGTAGAAATTGTTGCTATTATTGAATCATCTTTAACCGTATGTAATTCATGTGGGAAGAATGCCAAATCTACATGTTTTGATCAACTTTTCATTATATAATAATTTTTAATAGTTCCTAAACTGCAAGGACTCAAACCTGTCTTAATATCTCGCAATGAATGTTTTGTTTTCTTTTTTTTGAATTGATCAGAATATCGTTGAATATCTTTTTTTTTAATAAAAAAAATAAAATTTGTCATTTATAAACAAAACATTTGATTTTTATAATAGAATCATACCAGGTGGTGGTGGTGGTGGGGTTATAAAAAAAGCAGAATCTTTGAGAGCTGCTTTATATCCAAATAATGCATTAAGCATTTTATGTTCATCTTCGGAGGGTGGTATTGGTTCTTGAAATTCAATTCCCTATACAATTTCGAATTTGAGATTTAACTTCAAATTATAAAGTTGATTAAAAGAGCTATTTTAGTTGAAAAGTATATGGTGAAATACAGCTGATGTGTCGTTTGA